GTGTGTGTGTGTGTGTGTGTGTCTTCATACTCTGCATGAACTGTCTGGATGTTCCCACAGGAAGACATTTTCTGGAGGAGACAACCTGCAGCTTTCAGAGATGTGTTGTTCCGTCCCAGCCTGGACAAACACACCAACATTCACACATTAAACGTCTTTTTAACGTCTTTAATAAAAGAACGGATCGGATCAGGACCGGTCGGGTTCCTCAGCAGGACTGACGTACGTTACAGAAACCAGGTTCTGCAGTTTGGTAAAAATCTCAGCCACGTGTTGGACTCCTTCGTCCTGCAGGTTGTTGTCGCTGAAACTGAAACATAAAGAATCTTTGACTTCATCACAGGTTCACCTGTGTAACACCTGTGTAACACCTGTGTAACACCTGTGTAACACCTGTGTAACACCTGTGTAACACCTGTCTCAGTGTCGTTAAAAACAGAAAACCTACTTGAGTTCAGTGATGGTGGGACAGTCCTGGAGACCCGAGGCCAGACTGGCCGCCCCTGCAGCCGTCAGACTGGCACCACAAAACCTTCAGAGGAGAAACACCAGAACTTTGAGCAGAACGTTCCTTCCAACGCCAGAAAAAAAAAAAAAAAACATTAATAAGCAAAAATGGAGAACCTACTCCAGTTTTCTCAGGGCTGTAAACTCTGGTAAAATAGTCGACAGCTTTCCTGCAAACTTGTCTCCGTACTTACGACTGCGAAAGCTGAAAAAAAAGGGAGAATAAAATTGTTTTACTCTTTGACATTTTTGTTCCAGCTGTCTGCGACAGAGACCACCGTGTTCGGGAAATAATTGCTGATATGACACATTTCATGTCACGGGGCCACGATATATCAAAAATACAACAGTACCTCATGATATATTGCGATACATGATGATATATTGCAATATACTGTATAAAGATACCTCAACATATATTGCGATATATCAAGATACCTCATGATATACTGTGATATATTGTGATACTTCATGATATATTGGAATATATTGTGATACATGATATATTACAATACATGATGATATACTGTGATATATCAAAACACCTCATAATATATTGCGATATATCACAATACCTTGTGATATGTTGTGATAAATCGCAATACCTCATGATATGTTGCGATATATGAAAATACTTCATAATATACTGTATTGCGATATATCACGATACATCGTGATATATCGCAATGCCTCATGATATATTCTGATATATTGCAATACATGAAAATATATTACAATAAATGACAATATTTTGAAATATATTGTGATACCTCATGATATATTGCAATATATTACGATGCATGACAATACACTGCAATATATCAAGATACCTCATAATATATTGCGATGTATCATAACACCATGTGATATATTGTGATACATCGCAATACCTCATGATATATTGTTATATCAAGATACCTCATAATATATTGCAATATATCACAATACCATGTGATATATTGTAATACTTCATTATATACTGCGATACATCAAGATTCCTCATAATATATTGTGATATATCACGATATCTTGTGATATATTGTGATACATCGCAATACCTCATGATATATTGTGATATATCAAGATACCTCATAATATATTGCAATATATCACAATACCATGTGATATATTGTAATACTTCATGATATATTGCGATACATCAAGATTCCTCATAATACAGTATATTGTGATGTATCACGATATCTTGTGATATATTGTGATATATCGCAATACCTCATGACATAATGCAATACATGACAAAAAATGGTGATATATCATCTTGCTTATAGTTTTGCCATTTAACATATTGCAATACTGTAAGCAAGATGATATATCACATTTTTCTCCCCAAAAGATTCTAAATTAACAAAAATCCAATTAAATTAATGTGTGAGCTAGAATTATCCTCCTCATGAGTTGATACAAAAAGCTAACTGCTGCCACCTAGTGGACGGAGGCTAGAATAAAACACAAAAAAGAGCCACTGGCATGAAAGTTTACATTTTAAGCTATAATTACCAATCATTGCAGTATCAGGAACTTAAATATAAATATTTCCTTTCAGGTGTTTCCATTTAGAAGACAGCTGTAATCCACTGCAAAGAGTCTAAATTTGTCTCACCTGTCGAACAGGTCGTAATTATTTTGTTTTGTGGAATTTACACCTGAAGGGATGAATGTAGATTTTCTTTAAACTTGCTTACCTTCAGGCAACAGTTTTCTTTAGCAGGTAACAGATAAACCATCAGGCCTCTGTGTCTTTGTTCGTACACTAATAAAAATTTGATTGAATTTATTTGTCTACCTACGCAGACCACAGCCTAACATAATGTTTGTTTACGTTGAGAGCAGACCTCCATTTCAGATTTGCTTATAAATCTGAGAGGCTCCTGCAGGTTGCTTCATGGTCTGCCCACCTGAGGTGATGAATGTTCTGACACATGGTCAGAACGTCCAAACACTCCAGCTCCATTGAACACGAGCCGAAGTCCAACCCAGCTGCGGCGCCTTCGGCTGAGTTCACCACAAAAGCCAAAGCATGGATGTCGTTCGAGTTCAGCCAGAAGTTTCTGAGCTCCAGGGTCTGTCTCACTTTTACAACCTCACGGGCCAGTTCTTGGTTCTGACTCTCCTGGACGCAGTGGCAGAGCTGCAGGACCTGTAAGAACCCAACACATGAGCGTTAGGTGGGAAAATCCTCCCGTTTGTCAGGTTTTAGATTTAAGGCCCACCTTTGGTCCGGTCAGAGTGCTGCTGAGACACCGAGCCTTCAGGAGGTTCAGGACCAGAGTCTGACGCTTCTGGACCCAGGTCTGGACTCCTTTCAGACCCGACGCCCGGGCTACCTGAACCAGAGCTGGAGCGCAGCGCGGGGACGCCAGACCGCACACGTACAGGTACAGAGAGTCCGTGAAGACCGTCTTCTGGTCCGACTTGGTGGTCCAGCGGGTTTTCAGACTGAACCTGAAGAAGAGACGAAGAAGAGGAAATTAAAAAATAAAAACGAAGAAATGAACACATTTCTGTTGAAGTTCATCAGTTTTCTTCTGACTTCTATCCTCACCTCTTCTTCAGCTGTGTGTCGCTAACGTCGTTACTCGTCATGATTCTTACAGCAGCCAGGAACTCCTGCAGAGTCAGGTGAGGGAAGCTGAAGGCTCGGAGCAGCTGGGCCTCATGACCTCTGACCTCCACCTGACAGGAAGTTCAACAACAACAAACTGATCTTCTGATGAGAAGGAACAGAGTCGCTGTGGTCAAACCCTCAGCTAAAGCTCGGCTGCTACCACGCCAAGTTTGAGCTCATGATTTCAAAAGCAGTTTTTGTGTTTGCTGTGGAAGCCATCTTGAATCAGGTTCCTGACATTCTCACTAGAATCCACCCAGTGGTTCATGAGATATTTTGCTAACAGACCAAAGCATTTCCACGGGCAAACAGATTTTGAAATATTAAGCTGAAATTTCAACCTGTTTATCAAATAAAAACTAGTTTCCAGCTGATGTTCACATAAAACTAATCTGTTTTTTCTTCAATACATTTCGGCTTAACTGTCAGGGGCGGAGCCACCTGAGGTTCCGCCCCCAAATGATTGACAAATGGTGTTTTTGGATGCTGATGTGTTGCCACCACTTTAAACTGATGTAACTGTAGCTGTTCTAAACTGGTGATCAGTGTGTTTTGGATTTTTTGATAATTCTTACGATCAAACAATATTTCAATATCTCAGTATTTATTATAACAGCTGAATTTGAGCTATTTGAAATTGGCTGTGGTGGCCATTTTGAATTTTCAAACGCAGGATAGCACTTTTTATTTATACAGTGGTTTGCAAAAGTATTCATACCCCTTGAACTTTTCCATATTTTGTCACATTACAACCACAAACATAAATATATTTC